TTTTATTTTTGATTTTTTAAATATTTTTAAAAATTTACTTTAGAATTTTTAGATATTTTGAAAATTTGTTAGAATTTTTAATAATTTTCTAGAATTTTTTTAGATTTTTAGAATTTTTAAAATTTTTAGAATTTTTAATTTTGTTTTAATTTTATGAAGATTTTTTAAAATTATGTTAGAATTTTTTTAATTTTTAAAAATTTGTTAGAATTTTTTTAGAATTTCTTAAAAGTTTTTTTTTTAATTTTTAGAAAAATTTTGAATTGTTTATATTGTTTACAAATTGTTTATAAATTTTTTACAATCTTTTTAGAAATCTTTAGAATTTTTTTGAATATTTTTTTTATGCTGACGTTATAATGATTATATGATGTTGACTAGACTTTTTGACACTTATAAGCAATTTATTAGATGTTAATGCTATTTCAATAAAGTTGAGTAACGACATTAGTCTGATAAATTAACATGAGAACGATTTGAAAGTTTAGGTACCAACGTGACAAAAAAATTTTTTAGGTTTCAATGTGACAAAAATTTTAAAGTTTAAGGGCCAAATATGTATTTAATCTTATAAATTATAAAGGTTAAATATAAAAATGGCCCATGTATTTGGTATCTAAAGAAATTAAATTTTCATTTTAGTACTCTAATTTTTCGTCATCCATTTTGGTACCTGAGAGAATCACCATTAGTCAAGTTAATGATGTGGATGAAATCCAATAATATGCTGATATATATCAAAAAGTTTAATCAGCGTCCCATTATCAATTGCTACATCAGTATTAAAAGAAAATCATAAAAAGTTTAAAATTTTAAAAAATCTAAAATATTTAAAAAAATTATAAAAAATAAATTTTGAAAAATTTTAAAAATGTTAAAAATTTAAGAAAACTTTAAAAATGAAAAAAAAATCACAAAATGTTAATAAAAATCTAAAAAATTAAAGTTGAAAATTTTAATAAAAGTAAAAGTTTCTTGAAATTAAAAAAAGATTCACTAAAACTTAAAAAAATTGAAAACAAAAGAAAATCTACATTTTTTTGAAAAAATATAAAAATTGTGAAGAGATTTTTTTAAAAAAATATGAAAATTTTTCTTTTTTTTAATCTTACAATTTTAATTTTTTTAATATATTTTATGAATTTTTAATTTTTTTGTTTTTTTATTAAAATTTTAAAATTTTAATTTATTTAATTAAAAAATTTTTAGAACATTTAAGATTTTTTAATTTTTTAATTTTCAGAAATTTTAAAAACTTTTAAGACTTTTTTTTTTATAAATTTTCATATTTTAAAAAATATTTTAGATTTTTTAATTTTCTAAAATTTCAAAAAAATTTAGGTTTTTTATTTTTATTTTCATTTTTTAAAGTTTTTGTGAATAATTTTTTTTAATTTTAAGAAAATTTTATTTTTATTAAAATTTTTATTGTTTTTGAAAATTTTAAAATTTTATGGATTTTTTTATTAAAATTTTGAAATGTTTTTTGAATTTTCTAAGATGTCATAATTTTTTAATTTTTATAATTGCAAAAGATAATTCATTTTTTATTTTTTTTTATAAATTTTTAAATTATTTCAGATTTTTAAAAATTAATTTAAAATTTTTAATTTTAAAATTTTTTAAAATTTTATTTGAACTTTTCATTTAATGTTAATATGACAATTGATGATATGACATTATTGAACTTTTTTTAACATATGTCAATATTTTATTGGATATTCACAATATGTCAGTAAACTGACTAACGACGTTAGTTTAAGATACAAAAATGATAATAAAATAAAAGTTTAAGTACTAAACGAACAATTTTATTTCTTTAAATACAAAAGTGATAGAAAATATATAGTAAAAAACTAATTTTATATTTAATCCAAAATATAAATAAATTGGAAAATGTTGACAATTGAGATTGTTCTAACGAATTAGGAATCTTATACTGGTAATTGATATTTATATATATATATATATATTAATTAAAGAGTTACATGTAATAAGCATCATTTGTTCTTTTTTTTTTTTTCGGGTCATAAATATTCTTTAAAATCCAGATAGGTACAGGACAATCAGCTGATCTCTATGATCATCGATGTGGCTGCGACATGCATGTTCATAATTTTTCTCAGTGGTCCTAAGCAGATGAGTAGTTGAAGGTATTTCATCAATCAACATCTTCTCTACCTTACTTGATCTTTAAAAGAGGAAGAAGTGAAAAAGTATAGATGAGAAAGAAATTTCATTAAAAAAAAAGAAAAATAGTTGAGAAAGAAAAAAAAAAAAAAGAAAGAATACGATCCATTACATACAACAATTAGAATTAGGGTTATAAATCTTGCTGCCATTTAGTGCAAATGAGAAGAAGAGATTCCTCATTTGGCTGACAAATTGTGAAAGACGAAGAAAAATAAACTTCAATTAAAGTTGCCTCAATTTGATCATAAATTCTTCTCTAGTCCTAGCAATTTAAGTTAAGCCAAAATGGGTGTAAAAAAGGTAATAGCAATGACCCACTAACAAATCAATAAGTTGCTATCACATAATTCATAATTGATCATTAGTTGTAATCTGTATTTATAAAAATAATTTAAAAAGAACTCAATTAGAGCTGATGAGAACTCAATTAGCTTTAATTCTTTTTATTATAATGTTATAATTATCCTATTATAATTAAAAATTATATAAAAATTCATCACTTATAAATATGAATTCTACATAATATTTTGATGGATCCTATATAATTTTAATTAATTTTAATTGATTAATTATAATACAATTATTGTAAATGATATATATCCCTCAAAAATGATGCCATCAAATTTCCAACTTCTGCCGCTAGAGTTTATGTCCTAATTATCTTTGTATGTAATTAAATGTGATAGAGACGGTGATTTTCAAGACTCGTATCTCTAATTAATCATCTTGCTTTTTATTATTGGACAATAATTTTTTTGCTTTCCTGAATATGTCATTTTCCCACTTTCATCATTTCATCTGCACAATGATGATTATATATATATATATGTAGGCATCTTTTAAAGGAATTGCAATTGGAATTGCTACCAAAATAACCAAATGTGTTCATCGACGTGCAAATCGCAACAATATGCTTGTTAACATGATTATCTTTTCTTCTTAAAAAAAAAAAAACAAAGATTATCTTTCATTACTTCTTTATCCAACTACAGTTATAAATCTATCATAGCCATTTATATTTATGTACATATAATTCAATACAAATAATCATAAAGTTTAAGAAATGGAACGCATTCTTTTGGATAGTTCATTCAAGAAGGAATGTGATCCTCGACCAGATTGATATCAAGTTTGGGCTAAAAAAAAAGCTTTTAACGATACGACATGTGCTTAGCGAATATGGGAACATGAGTTCAACAACCGTGTTCTTTATTCTAGATGAGATGAGATAAGAAGGAAGTCCATAAGAGGTAGAAAAGGCGACCTCAGTTGAAGGCCTAGAGTGGGGTATCACGTATGGATTAGGACCGGCAGTAATTACAGTTGACATAATTGTGCTCCGCATCTTCCCTACAAGTACAATCCCTTAAGATCGATTCCAAGCACCTGAATATCTTGTTCACTGGTTTGGGGCATGTTTCCTCTTTCCAAAGAACAAGGGTCGAGTTTTCTTTCCCCAAATAAAAGAAATAATAAAATAAAATAAGGGGATTTCATGATTATGTAAGGTGTGCTATATGGTAACTAACAAGTCTTTGTTGATCACAATACTAAAAAAGTTCGAAATCTTTCAAACTGATAGTTTGTAATTTTATATCGGGGAGATATCAATGCTATGATATAATATTTGTTTGCATAACTTCCATATAATTATGTCCTCCACTTCTTACAATACAGTTTTTACTATCATTTCTACATGTGAGATCAGTTATGAATTACAAATCAGGCATGTACATCCAGAGGCGAAACCAGATAATAAATAAAGGAGACCAAACAATGAATTAAACGGGGAAAGGAAAATACATATTAATTTTAATAGACTCAATTACTGATTTAGAATGGTGTAAAAAATATTTAAGGGGGCAGTAGTGACTCCTATCTGTCCTTTTGCTCCGCCTCTGCATACACTATAAGAGTTTGATTTTTATACATTAATAGTATAATTTTTTAATTTTACACATGATGTTAAGAGACCGTCACAAATCCAAAATTTTAAATTATTTTTATTTTTTATTAGATAATTTTTGTAAATTATAAATAATGTATCAAAAAGTATAAAAGAGTAATTATTGGTAAAAAAATTAATGGACAAGAGAGCTAAATCCATCAACTTGAGCTCTATTAGATTGGCCAACCATAATATATATATATATATATATATATATATATATGATGATGATGGATGACTTTTCAATTATTCTTTAATTCTCATCAACAAACTAATTAAACATTTTTTAAATTTTAAATTAAATTTTGATTCTCAATAGTTCAATTTTGAAAAATTATATTTCTTTAATTGGGAATTGGGTTTTCAAAAATAAAAATTGATTTCATTGATCCAATTAGTAGTATAGACAAAAACTTGAAAATAAACCAGCCAACCTTCCCAGTCCCTTGCTAGATCCGAAAAATAAAACTAACTAAAAACAAATTTTATTCATATAGCCGATTATCCTTAAGATTAGTTGATATGTTATTGGAATTGACATTTGAAGGTTACATGTTCAGAACTTAAGCTCATAATATTCTCTTCAACCAGATATCTAATAAGATTGGTGGATTTAAAGATAGATTAAAAACTTTACAAAAAAATTGTTCATATAGAATTTCAAAGATGCCTTAACCATCAATTATAACATGCATTTTTTTATAAGCAGGCAAATTAAATTATGAATTCGTAATTTGTTTTTCAATTCTTTTAATAGAATCAGTTGAACGTATACTTTAATATAGCATTTGGAATTCAACTATCCATTGATGAAAGCATTGAGAAGTCCATGGGCCATCATCAATAGGTATGAATTTATCATCACCATTCATATATACATGGATACAATTCATGAATAAGTTTCATAATGAAAATTGGCAATGATAACTTATTAGACTTTATTGGTTCAGCACAGCCTTTAGTCATGCATAATGATGTAGGGAACTTGAAAATTTTGAACTTAAACTCTTTAGAAAGGAAATATATACACATACCATTTAAGATTTTTTTAATTTTCTTTGACCAATCACATACCATTAAGATTAGGTAACAGATTTTCCTACTCTGGTATAACAGAATGGAAGTTTTTTTTTCCCAATTCCATCACTTGACCTAGGTCTGTTCTTTGATGGGCCTAAACTATCAAATGACCAGATTCAGCTCGTCGTAGTAGCAGGCTTGAACCACCATCCACCCAATAACCGGTCCTCAGGATGACAGCGTGGACCTCATACTTTCACATACTGCTGGAGTTGGGCCAAATTTTTGCTGCATGGAGTGGTCAAGGTTGAGTGATGTGCAGGGAAGCTTTGGATTGTCAAAGAGTATCTAATTCCATGATGTTTGCTAATACAAAAAGAGTGCTATATTTTTCTTAAGTCAACTACTATCACACTAATGTTGTCATTGCTACCCCGAGCAATAGCAAGCTCAACCAACACTGCTGCTGCTTCAGCAGCACGATTTTCATTGACAATGTTAAGGGATTTCCTCCTTATTTGGCCGTTCAGACATCTCCTCACTACTCGACATGCGTCCTCATTCGATATGACATCCCACAGGCCATCACTAGCTAGTATGAGGAATTCATCGCGATTCATTAGCTGTCTTACGGTTACTTCTGGCTTGCATATGACAAATGGTTTAAGGTATCGATCACCTGCATTCAAATTTTACTCTACAATGAGAAAACGGCTGGCAACGGCATCCTCATTAATTAGATAGTTACCTCTTAGGCCCTGAGCTCTAGCAATATAAAATTGATAAACACTAAAGCAGAAGCTTTTCTACGTACCTATGGATCTTGAAGTGGCAAGTACACCAAGCACACGATGTCCATTCCAGTTTACGACCCTACCACCAGCAGCTTCAACTCTCTCCAACTCATCAGGTCTGTCGGGCTTTGCACAAAGAACGTGCCAATATATTGATTAATGATACAAATTTCAAAACTAAGAGATTATTAATGCCAAGGAGTTGATGTAAATTGAGTATAAACCCCAAATGTGACAGAGTTTGACTGAAAGCTCAAAGGCAAATATCTCTGTTTATTCATCACCAATACACTCTATACAAAAAGCGGCAAGACATTCTGCTTCAGCTCAATCTCATATTAAGGCTCTTTCCTTTGTGTATATATATAGTGACAATATGTATAATTTTTTGTAGGAGTGACAATATATAGACTATATAAACATATAAAATCATTAGCATCATTAGGCTAAATGGAAAGACAGTAAAGAAAATGTAAAAGAGAAAGGTCAAAAAAGGGGACAAAGACCCTCAAAGAAAGTCCTAGTAATCATTTGGTAGAGTTCTTAAAATAGTTCCTGACAAGAAAGTAGTTTAGTGAATGATAGATCTAAAATTGAAATTGTCAGGGACAACATACAACTGATTCATTTGTCATTTTGCCCCTTCCATATGTACTAATTTGATCTCAATCATTCTTGATTTAACATAAATATGCCGTTTAAGTTGACGACCCTTAAATTGAAGAATACTTTTTTGCATTGCCGCCATATATATATGTACAGTCAATCCACCTTTGATCCTCTTTTTAAACCTCTTATTGCCAACTAGGTATTATTTTTGCAAAATTAAAGAAGGAATAAAGGAAAAGCTTCAGTCTAGCTAAATTCTTAATCCATATCATCAGCAAGTATAAATGGGGTAAAAGATTTAATTAGAACAATCCCTCCCCTAGTGTAAAATCCAATTTTCAGATCGGATTTTCAAATCCAAGATTTAGAACAAACCCTTGAAATCAACTTCTCTTATACTAGGACGGTTCCTTCTTTCTCGATCTTATATACCGAATCGCCCCCAATAAACTTCTAAACTTTGGTGGCTACATATATATCATATATGACTGCATGTATATTCTGAATTCTACCACCCAAAATCTAATCGTTAGTAAACGAATAACGGATGTGCTTATCTTCAGCAAATAAAAAACGACCATTCTGCTTGAAACGATTCTTGATTTCTATCACTTTATCCACCAATCACTTAAAATGATAATTGAACTAAACCAAAACCCACCAAAATGTAACAGTGTTCCATTCAATTTAGCAGAAAATATATTAAAACTAAAACCTTTTAGCATGAGATAAAACTTAAAAGCATTCAAAACAATACTGTGAAATATTTGTTACCTTATGATCAAAAGACAAGGCCGTAGCAACACCATCCCTCCATAGCACAGCTCTGGAATCCCCACAATTCGCCACTACTAACTTTCCATTACCAACCACCGCCACAACCGCCGTCGACCCCACCATCTCCTCCCCCAACCTCCCTCTGTTCACCTCTTCATCCATCTTCTCAAAACATCTCTCCATCGTTCTTCCCCAATCAATCCCACTTCCTTCCTTGTCATCCTCTACTATTTCCTCCACCAACATTTTATGCAACCTTTCTTTACACTCCTCTGCCACCCTGGACCCGCCGTGCCCGTCATAGACTCCATAAAAATCAAACTTTTCCCTTCCTTTGACCAAAAACCCTAACTCCACTTTCACTGCATCTTCCATTTCTCTTCTCCTACCAATAACTGATAGTAACCCATGAGACGTGCTCATTAAAGTTTGCACCTCATCGTTTTTCTTGCAAGTTTTCTCTTCAAAACAAGCCAAAACGATGTCGTTCTTCTCTGACGAGGATTGCTTTGACGAAGAAGACAATGAAAGCGATATTTCAGTTAAACCGTTGCTTGGTTTTGATCCGTGAAGAAGATTGTTGTCATTATCGCCGTTGTTGCTGTTTTCTGTGATGGTTATATTAATCATCGTCTGACACGTACACTTCAATCTTCTAATTTCCAACCTCCTCCGGCGAGCATTCTTTGTTCTGATGACTGTAAGTCTGCTGTGTTCACCGTAATCTGAGGTCATTCTCCGGGAATCCTTGGTTGATGGAGATTGAAGCTTTAGTATCTTCTCCTTCATTTTTTTTTTCTGCATGAAATCAAAAGATAAAGCAACAACTGGACAACACAAATTAAAGTCGATAAATAAAAAGGGTAAGGTGAAAGCATTGAAGTTGGGCCATTGGATTTTCTGCGATGGGATGGGCGGTAGCCACATGGGGTTTTATGTACCACTGACTGGGATTTTTCAAACAGAGACGTGGATGGCAATGATTTGGTTTGAAACACGTGGAGCTTGGATCTGGCGGTTAGTGATTCTGTCGGGACAGGGAAGGGGCCCACCAGTGAACTCTGAAAGTCGTATTACGTGGCATCTCGTCATTATGAGGCACGTGGAGGGCGACGTTTGCTCGGCCTTTTATTAGTGTTTTTCTCTGACAGGGAATGTTGACTTGATCGATCGATAGGATACGTGTTGGATTCTGGCAAGTGGCGTGTGGGATTTGGACCTCGTGCAATTGGCCATAATTTGCCAATATCATATTTCGTATTACACAATCTTGAGCTCCGTCCCATGAAGATTTTTTTTAATAGTAACTAATAAAGTATAACATTTTTAACAGTGAAAGATTGAAAAGTATCAGGGACGTTTGACTGGATTACCAAATTTTGCCCCTGAAATCTGATTGGTCAACAGAAGAACTTGTTTGGTGACTCGAATTTTTAGATGGTTAAAAGTTCATCAATAAAATAAACAGTAAAACAGAAATCAGTAATCAGCCATTGATGAAAAGGTCTTTATATGGTAGCTGCACAAAGTTCTGTCCTGCAAGAAAGCATGCTTCCTATACACGTGGACTTTATTCATGGTTTGAATGAGAGAACCGGTGGGTTTCCTTATCTTCTGGGTCTTTTTATTGCACCTGCACTTGCCTAACAATGGGCAAATATTTTAAGAAGGTAAACTATTGCAGGTTTCCGTGCCCTGTTAAATTGGTGTTTTGACCTCTTGGAATTCTTGGACAAGTTGTATTTGTGAACAATGATGCATGTAAACATTCAAACAGGGGCGGAAAGTTTATTTGTTTGTGTTCATTTTTCTTAGGATTGTTGTTATTGATGTGAATGCAATTATAGATTGCTTCCATGCTATAGCTGAGGATTCAAACAGATTGGAAACCAATCTTAATATCACATCAGATTGTAAAGGGAAAATTCCGCATCATAATAACTCAATTTCATCTCTCCCTCTCAATGGACAATCCTTAAATTTCCCGAGGGGAATAACAAAATGTCAACATCTCATAACCATGAACACTTGACATCAATAAGAAAAGTTTCGCAATTGCTCCTTTGATGATGTTTGACAACTATGATACCATCCTAAAGAAACATGTGAAGAGATCAATCCAAAAGATTCACATGAACTCAAGATGAAAGGCTATGACATGAACTCAAGATGAAAGAAAGCTGTAAAAAGGTAGGGTGAAAAAGCCATACATGAAATTGAAAGTTTATATAGCTATTATTAAGAAGTAATATTTAGTATATCTAAAATTCAAACTTAAAAACTTACAATCTCGTTTGTTATCTCGAGATGGTGACCTCGTATGTTAAAAAAAAAAAAATCAGATTTGTTTGCTAAGGGTTGATTCAATGTTTCTTCATTACAACCTTTTATAAGAAACTTTTCTGTGCCCAAGTCATGTCAAGAAGTAGGAGCACAAGTTAGCTAACAGGAATTACGTGTACTTTACAACCTAAAGCTTGAACTAGAATGCATAACTACATGCTCAGAATAACATGCTTCGACATCAAACATCATCAAAGCAAACTATGACACATCACTGTAATTTAACTATCTATGCATAGAAAAAGATTACTATAGTTTACAATTATTTCAGATTAAGAGTAAGCAAAGAGAATGTACAATTGTATGTAAAAAATCAGGGAATAAGAACAATTCTATACAGGTAACAATTGGTAGAACAAGTGATACCTATGCCTCGTCTACAATGGCCAAAAGCAAAGAGATTAAACAATAAACTTGCCAAACAAGGATCAGATTTGCTCCAACAGTCGAATGTAATCTGCAACACGGCGACGGCTAGTGGACAATGGTGGCATCTGAGAAATTAAATATCAGAAACCAAAACAACTTAGTGAAAGCTCTAAATTGCTTTTTACCAAGAATGCAGTTGTCAAATAGATAGATCCCTTAATATGACTAAATCAATTTAAATTGTACACTGTCACCAGTAATTCTTGCAAGAGCAGGTTGATATGATGAAACCGATTTGAATCCCTTAAAACTATTTTTCTCCATGTAGCCATTGGAATGTACTTGATTGCAGTATGACAATCTCCAGAAAACGGAGATTCTTAAAAACTTGAACTGGTTATCTTGACGTGCTTATAAGTCCGAATGCAACTGCAATTTACTCACTGTGTTGGGAAACATATTGCTCCTTCTGTTCCTCAATTTCATGAAGAAAAAATCTGTATCAGGGACATAGCCCAAACCCTTTATTTTTAAAGCCATTTCGTCAGTTTCTCATAAATCTTCTGCACTTGTGGGTGTGAAGTATTAGCCACATGGAACCTGTGCATATTATCGTCCACCTCTATTCAACTGCAACCAGCTTCTTTGATCAGATTCCTTTCTCTCATATTTTTCCTAATCTGGGCCACATCTTCCCATTGACCTGAAGAGGCATACAAATTTGATAGTAAGATATAGGCTGCAGCATCAGAAGGAACCTGCTGAAGTATCATCTTTGCAGTATGTTCTCCTAGTTCTTAATTTGCCATTGTGGACTCGCCAAGCTCCAAGAAAAGTACGCCAAACCACATCTGGTGTGCAGGGCATCGTGTTTATGAGCTCAATGGCTTCCCTAGGTGGCCCTGGTCGGCCCAATAAATCAACCATACATGCATGGTGTTCCATTATTGGGGCAATCCCGTGCTCTTTGTGAATCGACTTGAAAATTTCCCATCCCTCTGAAATCAAACATGCATGGCTACAGGCTAATAAAACAGCAAGATATGTGAATCGTTTGGCCTAATCCCAGCCTGCAGCATTTTTTGTGGAATATTTCCAAAGCTCTACTAGCAAATCCATGTTTTGAAAAACCTGGGATCATAGAAGTCCAAGATATAACATTTTGATCACCCATCACTTTAAAAACTTGAAAGGCAGCTTCTAAGCGTCCACACCTAGCAAACATGGATATCAATGCATTACAAATGCATTGGCTTGACTGAAGCCCTGATTTAAGTAACTGAGCATGGACTTGCTCGCCCTTGCCTATTGCACCAATACTTGAAGCTCTACTCAGTAGACTAGCATATTTGAAGGCATTAACCTCAATTCCAATATCTAAGATTTCGAGAAGCTCCTTCAGAGTCCAAGCTTTTACCTTAAGCATCAACAATAGTGTTGTAGGAAACTAAATTCTTCTCAAATAGAGATTCCAAGGCTTTTTGAGCATTGTCCATCCTCCCGGACCTAACATACATGCTTACAAGAGAGTTCCCCACGCAATCATCTGAAGCAAAACCATGTTTTACTGCATGGGCATAAAACCGTTCACTGTGCCTGAATCAGGAAGATTTCCACACGCCTTAAGAACACTAGAAAATGTGAAATGATTAGGTGGAACAGGACCTTCCATCATTTTGCAAAAGAGCTCAACGGCTTCTTTATCACGAACCCCACATTGCACGTTCCTTGAATAATCGCAGTCCAAGACATAATATTTTGATCTTCCATTCTATCAAACACCCTTCTAGAATCATCCAAAGACCCATCTACTGTACACTTAGCATACATGTCCGCTAAACTATATCCAACGCAATCATCCAAACTTAATCCCAATTATAACTCAAGAAAGCAATTACTTGCCAAGGGACAATGATTCCGATTCCAGCTCAGGACAAGCTGAAATGATATCACTTAGCGTGAACAGATCAGGCACATAGCCACCTAGACCCATATCCAAGAACAAATCAATAGCATCCCTTGGGTAGCCTAATTTTGTACATCTAGTTATCATCAAAGTCCAAGCAACCACATTTTCTCACGCAATCTATCAAACAGTTAAAAGCTGACTCCAAATCACATTTTCCCTTAACAAACATATTAATTAGAGCACACCAACATTTGTATCAGTGTGAAGATACCCACTTCACTAAAAACCATAAAATTATTTCCCCAATTGCCCAAAAACTCGGCTTTGAAACAAGCCCGAATAATAGCCGTAAAGAAATAATCATTTGGATTAAACCCATTCTCAAGCATATCAAGAAATGTCAAAATTTCATCAATTTCATTTCTTACGAGCAAAACAAAAAATCATTGCACGCCATTAAACCAAAGCTTGTTTATTCCCCAAACTTTCAAATATTTTATGGGCTTTGGGCCAATCAGCCCATCAAGGGGTTGGTGGGAAAGGGAACAGAAAGGTCCATCATCGTCATTTTGGCAAACGGCTAGTTTCCACTAACTAGCCCTGTTAAAAGCGCTAAGTCCAGGTCCTTTTTGGGCCCAATAAATGAAACCGTAAGCCCATAATTAGTGGAAGTTTTACAAAGTTGCATGTTTGCTTGTTTGTTTGTTTGCCTTTTTTTTTTTTTTTTTTTTTTTCTAAAATAAAACATTGGGGGAATTGGGATTATTCCTTAATGAACCAAATTCTGGCGGCAATTCTATGCCTTTTCATGCAGAAGCAGATAATTTTGTTTTTCCCTTTAAGCATAACAAATAGCTTTTGGGTACAAATTGTGACAAACGATGGAGTAGTGGCTTTTCATTGCAAATTCCCTCTGTCACCTTCCACTTATAATCAATTTATTGTTTCTGTACATTCAGTTGATGCAAAAGATGACTCTTTTTGACTCAAGTAGCTTCCACTATTCCTTACCAAATTATCTTGTGGATATAAAACAGGCTTAGGAGGCACCTGCAGACTTTCAATTTCTCCTTCAAACATCTCCACAACTTTGCTCATTGAAGGTCGATCACTAGGCTTCATTTGTATACAACACAATGCTACCATGATCATCTTCTTCTCTATTTTCTTTTCCTCCGAGGCTTCTTCGACGTCTTCAAAAATTTTCCCCCTACAATTTGATCATAAACATTGCCAGGAAAGTAAGCTTCACTTGATTGTTCTGTCAGTGGAAAATTCTTCCTTTTGCCTGCCATTTCCATTAACAGCATTCCGAAACTATAGACATCGGCTTTGTATGAGACACCTCCAATGTTTTTGTAGAATAATTCTGGTGCAATGTATCCTATTGTGCCTCTTGCTGTAGTAAGAGTCACTGTGTTATTGTTTG